TTATTTCTCACTTCCAGATTGTGTACATGTCATAGATATAGTATTATAACAAAGAAATCAGTCAAAACGATGACAAAGCTGTTGTAGATAAAGCGAAAAACGAATCAAATGAATCATTATGTGTCCATTTTCTCCTTTTCCATAATGGTGTTATAATGTTATTGGTTACTATCGACTCTCTCCAATCTATCGTAAAGGAACGGTTATCTTATTCTGTGGATGACTAATAGAATTTTTTGTGGAAGTGCCGTTATGGGATCCGTAATATGTTCTGCACCAATTCTCTATGTACGGAGATTATCTAAGATCAATTTTGTCAATGTAAAATAGAATGACCATAGATCTTCATACTCTGGTCATTCTTGGTCATGCACTGATAGATGTGAACTGTCACAGAGAGCCCCGATTTAGTGTCCAAGAATCGGTAATTGGTGTTTATTCATTATTGTAGGGTGAAATATACCTCGAAAAGAACATATTACTTATCATTGCAGAAATCGCAATATAATGACTTAATTAGACTTTTTTCAATAATATAGCATTGGCCTATCATTTATACGGGCACCTGTAAACAGATACATAAATCTGGTTGACATATTTGGCACTAATAGGACAATAAATGTCATTTTTATTATGACTGTAGCAACACATTTATAAGCCGTTTGGATGACAAAAGTATAATGTCATTGCGCATTAAATATGAAAAGTAAAAATCCTATAGAATGATTACAATTAGTAAAATATGTTATTAGTCAGCTTACATCGATGAAACTTGTATGTCGAAAGGAGACAAGCTAGCAAAAAGAGCATGGAAGAACAAAACGTATGTGGTCGACGGAGTGTTAGACCGCTTGTTCCGCTATGGTGAAAGGGGTGACATAAGCACTACGTCCAAATTGCTTGCATATATGCTTTGCAGAATTTGTGAACCTGGCTTGCCTTTTTAGTAGCATGAGATAGACTAGAGGCTCATGCTTGTGAACAATTTTGATAAGATGGAAAGAAATATTGAAGTTGGATATTAATAAAATATCTCAAAATTCATGTCAGAAGTAAATGCATATTAAAAAGAATTAAGAGACTTTTAGGCTGTTTTCAAAGGAATGCTCTAAAACGTGTTATTTAATTAGGAAATATCTTAATGAGACACCTTGATGAGTTTCCCAAAAAATGTTAAACAAAGTCCTAGTTATGTTTCTCTAAATCAAGAAACCAAAACTAGTACCAATAGTTGTCTTGCTCTCGTTTGAGAAATTATTCCCTTCACAAACGTTAACACGTCTGAATGACAAACACAACATTTAGAGATTATATGACGGTTTAAGTGCAGTCAAGTTTCAAGCAGATTTTTACACTATATCGTACTGTTATGGGATATCAAATCCTTTCCGGGTCAAAGACGGCGCCAAGTAAGTGCGCTTTCTTCTGAACACTGATCCAGCTTTATCGTCGAATGAGAAGGTTTAAAGTATGCAAAATTAGATAGTAGAAAATAAAGTCATGTATGAGCCTCGAGGCACATCAAGTTTTTAAAGGGAAATCTTTTAATATTGCACTTGCCGTCGTTGACAAATTGCAAAATGAATACTGAAATGTATTTGTTCCTGTCATAGTTTCTAGCTTTGAAGTATATTTGTATACATCAACACTACCAAAATCACAAAATACATTTACTAGTTTAATCCATATCTCAATGTCCACGGAAGTTCCGATATTTATTGCAGCGCTTTACAAGCGATGTATATGTCTAGGGCTAATTGTTAGATCAAATGTGACATTTTCAAATCATTACTACAATTGTATCGGCAAACTAATTAAATCACAACAACAGATGATGGAGTTGTTTCTCTCACAACTTATATTTAAAAAAAATTAATGTTTTTTTGAAAACAGTACTTCATAATATGCTGTAAAGTACACACTAAAACGTTTTACACTATTTTTTTCAAGAAAACTTTGCTCTTATCTTTTGGTATGCCGAATCATGGTCGATGATTTAACAAATTATCTCATTTTATATCTGAAATACCTTTGTTATTACGGTCGTCATAGTGCTATCATTCAGATATGAAGTTGGACGTATTTGTTGTACGCTAGTTTGTTTGTTGGTTGTGGCGGTTAACGTCGAATGATACAGACGACACTTACGCTTCCGGGACACTTTGTTTTATTCTCTTTTCACTTTTTAAGAAATGTCCGTGTTAATATTTCATCTGTGCATATTTTGCCCTAATGTTATGGTATGTGTTTGAGCTATGATTATGGTCAACTGTGGGTATGTTCTGGAGGCAGTTGAAACATGATTACTCTCGATAGCACCAAGTCGGGCATGTGACCACCATTCTTTTTAGAGAATTTAGAGAGAGCGTTGCCAATGAGCCTCCAAATGTTGTTGTTATTTTATTTAATTTCTGGTATAATTATTGTTTGAAGCTCAATACACATTAGTCAAAAGGAAATTAGATAAAAAAGATACAAGCAAAATTATTCATTTCATCAGCAAAACTGCTGCTGTCCTGTAAATAAGCATGTGTCGTGAACTGTGTATATATTTATCTGTGTGTAGTGTCATGCGAAAACAACATTAGAGCTCAGATATGACAAAATATTTCTAGAAATACGTTTAGTTTTTGATATATGGTTGTTCTCATGTTTCGTCATCCGTTAAATGCCTCCTGGGACCGACTGTTTAAACCTCTGGCAGAAAATCTTTGTCACTTTTAGTTTTTTTCCCGTTCGGTCGTAAGCAACTCCCCATAGGTCGTTACAATGTCATGTTTTAAAGAGAAGGGTCGTTTCAATGCAAATGTGAATTTTCCCTTACTTGATATATTCATTTTTTCTATGAGAACACAGACAAACTTATAAATCACAGATGTCTGTGCAGGCATAAGAAGTAAAGTTCATCTATTCAGAATTGTACGTGCAAATCATAAATATCTTGCCTCATTCTTGTACTATCATTGAGCAACGTAAATCAATGCATTTCTGGGAAGGTTTTTCTTCAGTTTTTATAATTCTTGCAAAATACAATGAAATCAATTATGCATCTTTATAAAAGACCTCATCATTTTCATGTTGAAGAGTCTAATGAAAAGGGTTCTAAATAGGAACGTGTTTACCCTAAAGCAATACAATCTGAACGTTACTGAAAAAACCCCCGACATTTCCCCAGAATCAAAATTCAAACTCCAACTCGATGAAGCTATCTTGTAATATGAACAAGAGAAAAATGTACACGGAGAAACCATAAAAAATAATAAGACCACATGTTCAGGGAGAATTAACGTCTTCTGTTTTATTGACAACACCTGCCATATACATCCTGGTCGATCAGATTGTATATTGTCACGTTCCCAAATGGGAACACGGTAAAGAACAACGGAACTACCAGACTACTGACAAACACCAAACACTTCCAATTTTTCGAACAAAGAGTTATAATATTTCCCGATTATCCATTATCTTCATCAATAACATTTATCCACATTCGGCAGTCAACGGTGGATTGTCTACGTATCAATATTGCTTTTTCATATTTGTCACGTGATTATGTGATAAACCCGTAGTTCGGAAATATCGAACAATGTTGCACATTTTTAGATCTGTCATTATTTCAGGAAATATATATCCGTTTCAGCTTAAAGTTGATGAGGTTGGGTGTTACAGGATCCATTTGATGACCTTCAGAATATTACGGCATCTCTTGGTGTTCTTTATTGCATTTATAACCTTGAACATCACATACGATGTGAAGCTGTATACAAGGTGTTAAAACGTTAAAAGCTAAACATCGAACATCAAGCCCAGAGTGGGAGAAATAACAGTTTAATGGCATATAGGTTATCTCGGGCGGAGAACAGAAACGATACCATTTCAAACCATCATAACAAAGAGTGCAAAAAGTAAAGTAGCGCAAAAAGAGGACAAGTTGACGTTGTAAAAGTTGACCTAAACATACTTTAATCACATTCATTTCTCTGATAGAGGACACAAAAGTTAATAGTGTAGGTATTTTTTTTACTTGAGACTTATTACAATGAACAACATGAAACAAATAAAATTATGATAACAGAAAAAAAAATTATTAGAACAAAAGCTGTAAATGGCGTTCATAATTTGTGAAACAAATAATATCGACAATAAAAGTGTTTAAAGGCGACCTCTCTGTGTTTGCGAGGTGATTACATGTGTTTAATGCTCGTTTAAGGGAGACTACGATTTATCGACTTTTCCACAGTACTACCACGCTGAATTAGACTGCCTTTGGCACCTGGCAGGACGCCACATTCGGTCAAATATACCGAAAATGGGTAAACTAGTCGTTACACCACCGCAATGCTGAGTTTTTAACAGGGGCAGATCCCAAAGCATTTCCCGCCGTGCGAACGTTCAACCAAAGGCCAAAAGAACGACAGTCTCAAACGAGACATTGAATAGAAACAAGCAATTAGAAAGGAATGATAAAATCAGATCACAATTCTTTCGACCAGCCTTTTGGGCAAAGCTGTTACATAATTTAGAATTTTGGTGTACTCTTACAGTTTCAGGTATGACAAGACTTTTTCAAATATTATAATCAAATGTATTTCATTCGTGCTAAAAGGCCAACCGATTCAAATGCTATAGGTTGAAATGTTTTTGTACACGTCAATGACATGCTATACACCGAGGGTTGAATAGTAGGAATGTGTAACGTATGAATGATGACCAACAAGGTCGTAGACAGGACAACATCGTGTTGACGGCGTTTTCGACTGCCAGGATGTCATTTACCAATCTTGTTCCAATTCTGATGCCACTTTAATAGTTCAAAATATCGCAATAAAATGTTTAATATCAGTTAAGTCGGCCCTGTAGCACACTACATTCGAATCATGTTTACTGACGAGATAAAGACCATTTGAGACAAGGAAATTAGTATAGATAAAGCGTCAGTCAGAAAGTCACTACACATGATTTGATGTTTTTGGCATGCGAAGATTATAAAAAATACTTACTTGAAGTACTCAATTTATAGGTGTCCCGAATATCTGTAACTTTCTCGAATGCGTATATTTTGAATTTATTGTCTGTTGCATTGGCAGTTTCCACTCCATAAGAAAATGCTCTCTCAAAGTCTTGGGAATTGCGATCAAATATTACACCTGCAACATAAAACAAATTACGTACAGCCTCACATATGACATATGAGTTTTGATGAAGTTATAATCGGTCAGAGTTTGTGTTAACTTGAAACATGGATCATTTGAGGTATTTTCATAATATTGTTCAACATTTGATCAGAATCATTATGAATTGTGTAAAATAGTAACGCTAACAAAATGGTGATTTAGCAACGTGACCTTGACATTGGGATGATAAGACACTGACGTCGGAGCTATATCCCTTATATTTTCTTAAGTTGGGTCAGTTTAAAATGAAATTACAGGAGTGATGTTGCTGATTCTCTTAATAAATTCCCATAAATATTAACACTGACATAGACTTTGCATTGGAAACAAGAGACACAATATCGCTCGATGTATTTCTATGAGGTTGACCTGTAGCCTTTAAATGCAAAATTCATGCAAAAATGAGCTTATTTATAAAGCAATGACGAAACAATCCCCATCAAACGAAGTTTTAAAACACATATCTCAGTTCAAATGAAACATAACTTTCAATGTCATATATTGAATTTTAATCAATCATATATGCAGAATGACCATAACTGTGTAAACATAAAGGCGATTATTAATTAGCATATTGAGAACCAACCCACAAAATAACAATTTCGGAAATATTCTAAATTCAAAGGGGCAATTACGAGATAATTAGATATTTGGAAATAAGACCGAAGTTTGATAATAAAGCGGTTTGAAGAAATAAAAACTAATGATACCGTTTACCGAGTGATAGTGTAGATAATGTGAGGAAATAACGTTTCATCTTCATTCAATGCGGTATTAGGAGTTGACAGAGCATACGACAGAGAATGGTAGATGTTTTCAATATTTCAGTACCTGATGACATTTTCACAAGAAATGATCAACATGAACATGTTTAAAAAAAGTTAGATAAATTAGATTTTCGAATGAGAAATATGGTGTATTTTTAGCATTTTACATTTTAAGAGGGAACATGAAGTCCTTCTGCATCTAACATAATGCTGAGCGGCACGTAGGGTGCACGGAGTACCATCTTAATGACTTTGGAATGTCACGACTCGTAACACAAGGGTTCAAAAGATGCAGGTTGATGAAAATAATGTGGAAGTTATACGGTCGTCATAGGGATCTCTTGGAGATGGAGAAATATTCTATTTCTTCGTGCGATAGGAAAGTTGACGTGCTTAATACTCGTTAGTTTGCCTGTTCGTTCCGTTGTTGTTTACCTTGTTCCTATGTCAAAATATGTCATGACTTACACCTGGTCTTATTCTCCTAGTACTCTTTCAACAGTTTTCGCGGAAATCTTTTATTTGTTCATATGTTGCCCGTGTGTTATTGAATTTGAATTTGGATTATAATCATGTTGACATGTTGGTGTTTTCTTGTGGTTTCTTGGGTGGGGTGGGGTGGGGTGGGGGGGGGGGGGGGGGGAGGGTTTATTGCATGATATCTGATATCTAGTTTAAAATGATAAGAATAAGGCTATTACACTTTTCCCATGGCTTACTCAATCAACTTTTTGCGTTACTGTTAACCACGGGAACGAGCGATGGACACGTGTCCATTAAGCCAAAAGTGTTCGGCTGTTTTATAATTCTATCATATTATGGTCAAGTATAGGTTGTGGCAGAATTTATCATGGCTGCCTGAAACAGTCATGAAGAATCATAATGAGTTTCCTTGACAGATAGCATTTACCAACTTCGTTCAATCATCTGTTTTAACTTGAGCTTTTGCATTTGAATTCATTATGAAACTGACATGCAGGAAAACATCTTAATTCTACACACGCAAGTGTATAGCACCTTTGAAACAAATCCAGCATCAGATGAAGTAAAGTCTAATTATAAATTTAAGTGCATAGTACAGTTGATTGACTTTCTAGGACACATTAGTAATTAAAGGGTCTAAATCACGAAACCCAGGAGGCAAATCAAATGTGGACGAAAGAAAAAAAAAAGTACATAATTTTATGAACCGTGCCACTAAAGTCAGATGGATCTCTTTCTAGTTTTCCTCTACAGAAGAGAAATACGATTTCACTACTGAAATAATCGCCTGATGTGTTTATAAATGCTGGGTTCTTTCGTGTCTGGCATACCATAACGACATCAATAGATTTTGCAATGTAGTTGATCCCAAAATATTTGATGTAATTCATTTGACTAGGCTATGAACAGTGTAAAGGTTGACCTTGCCATCAGTGTAATAACAATTTACCACATGGCATACACTATTGTTTAAGGTCCGTTACTCATTATTAGTTGTTCATATTTTTGAAAATTTTATATTTTGTCAAGGACATCAAAAGACGATGCCGCCCACAGACAAGATGTTGCCATTTTTTTTAAACTTTAGATACTGAAACAACGATATAGTTAATCAAATTTACGGTTTCCAGAAAAGATGATATCGTTACTTGATATTTTCCAGTTAGAACATGACAATATGAAATTTAAATACAATACAATAGAAAAAAAAAAAAAGATTCGACTTCTTAGGACAGATCAGAAGGCATGTCGTATGGAAAGTAGTTACCGAGGACAGTTTACCAAACTAACTCGTTATTAGCGTACCTGAAGAACAAACCAAACTTGTGACAAAGCTATGACAGACTCATTGTTAAGGTTTTATATTACTCAATGCCAGGTTGTATGTGTTGCCATGATATTTTACAACTCGGGGATATTTCAGGTAATAATTTCTTTATCATCAATTAAAGTACAACTATGGAAAATGTCCTCGTGTAAACACTCAGTATCCTGACCTCCAATGTGAAAAAAATATGTAGACATACCTGTTTACTCCATAGAGCAAACTTTGCAATTTATTTTTGTAGGGATAGCAAAGGAGTGGTACTTTGCTTTAGATAAGGTATTTGTGAGTTGTCCGTGGAAAATTGTACCCTGTTAATTATTATTCACCAGGGTTAAATGGTTGTTGAAAGACAATTATAGGTTCATTGGTCTAGGCAGTCATGTACATCAACCCGCATGTGTAATCCCTGTAGATTTGCCATTGCCCGTTCTGCTCTGCAGAAACACGCCTCTGATTTATATTAAAGACCAGGCTTGAAGACTTGAAGACCCGCATTTCCGTGAATAAACGTTAATGGTATCACTTAATGACCATCAGTAGCAAATTGAACGTTTCCGTTTTTAAATTTATCTTGGGGGATTTTAAAACGGAGAAAGATATGTTGCCGTCCAAAAGCAGAAGTGAGGTTTCTAGATATATTTCACACTACATTCTAGTTAAAACAGGCACATGTAATGTTTCTGATTAAACACAAATCTTAATCCGAATAAACGCCAACAATACACGACTACAACACTTGACATAAAATCTCTTATGACTTCGTGAAATACTGATTCTTTATACTGTATGGAACTACAATCACATACAGCCTATCTAAATATCGTGCCTAGAGAATATGGAACGAAGTGAACGGCCAGTTCATGATGTAATCAGATGGAAACTGGCAATCTTCTATGTTCATTGTACCCATAAATAAGCTAACCGAGCTTAATATCAAGCTGAGGACACTGATTACCAATTCTATGGATTCGGAGTGGTATTGGTTTAGTTACGTAACACATAATTACCCGTTAGGACAATCATTATGAACAATGATCGAGAGGCAGATTTTAGCCATCTAAGGCGTTGAATATGGTATTGTTATAATTACGTTTCTAACAGTCATTAAACACATGAAAGATCCATAAAGCAAATGAAAAATTTTCAAAAAGTAGCAACCGAGAATGAATATTTTTGTGGAGGACAATGCCAATACAAACAAAACTCCTATTACTTTATGGTTAAAGGTTTTTTTTTCTTTTTTTTTTTTTGACAAGGCATCTAGGATAATACCACGTTTCCAGATAACTCCATATATGAGAAGGACAACGGGATATACTGTATATGTATGTCATCCTTGATGGAAGAAAAATGAACCCGACATAACATATTACGCAACGACTGCAGAGCATTCTGGATGACAAACGGGATATCTTAAGTGTGTATGTCATCCATGGTGGAAGAAAAAGGGCAATACAAGGAGTCCGATATATGACGTGACGTGATTTCTCAACGGGTGCAGTGCGAGGACAATTTATTCTGCAGGTTTCAAGGGGCCCACGTAAGACGTATACTTTGTATGGGATAAAAGGACGTGGATCATTATCTAAAACACAAACGCGACATCAAAAATGCTCTCGTTTTGAATAATGGCGGTAATTCAATACTACTTTTGGTATTAGATCGGAATCGATCATACATACGAACCTGACTATAAAAGATGAACGTATTTTAACAAAAGCTAGCAGAATGTGTATTCAAAGCAGAAACAATTTCAATTTGCTTTTAAGCATTACGGAAAACATAGGCCTGTCTGTTAAAACTCACTTACATTTTCGTTTAAGATAGCAGCTTCAGGTTTTGCTCATAATAACTTTTGTATCCTGTTTTATCTACCCTAATGGTTGTTCGTTGTCATGTCGGCTCTGCTTTATACTATCTGTGATCGTATCATTCATCACCACTAGGAAGCCGTTATCAATACAGTCCTTGAGATCAATGCTATCAGTTGTACAGTATTTTTAGCAATCTTATGCGGAGTTACACGTCAGGAAAAGCTGTTTGTTTCCCATTTAACATAGTGTAATCTACATTGTTTCAAAATTTGTTTTGTGGAAAAAAATTAAGAACAATCAATTTTACCTAATGCCATCACAAAACCACGTTTGGATATTCATTACTCAAACGTGAAAACAATTTGTCATTTACTTTATTTAAATGGTTCAAGGTCTTGCTAATTAAACATGATGCTATGTACAAATTAATCCAATATCTTAGGTAACGTATCATCAATTTACATTTATTTTTTGAAAAATGTCTTCTACATTCAAGCTGTTTACCATTTGTTGTATCTTCCTGCTGTTTTGCGATACCTTTCGCTGTCACCAAGAATTAAAAGGTATTGACTTGATTAATAC